TCCGACAGGTCGGTGCTCTCATCCAAGCGAGGCGTCAAAGGGGGGTAGAGACTGGGTGGTGATGATGAGGTGCGGAAGGGCTCTGCCTGCTGCACCCCAAGCTATGCCAGCAGGAAGGGAGATGAAGGGTCGCATGGGGGGGGAGGGACGACTTTCTTTTGGTAGAACATCCCTGGGCTTCCAGGTGGATGGGTGGGAATGAAGATTTCACAACGGACCGGGAAAGGCTAGGAAGGAGGGTTTCCTAGAAGCTGGGGGAAATCTGACCCAAAGATAGAAAGAGAGAGAAGTGGGATATCAGGGAAGGGCTGGGGGGCACTTAGAGCAGGATAAAGGAGTGACTCTCATCTCCTCTCTCCTTGGAAGTTAAGGAAGTGAGAACAGAAAGGTGCCCAGAATAGAAGAGATGAGAACAGAACCACCTCCAGTGGAGGAATGAACTGTCCCTAGGATACAGAAACAGGATGAACTGTCCCTAGGATACAGAAGCAGGTTCTTTTTTAGCACTTAATTGTAATTTTCTTTCAGTATTGTTATTCCCTCTCATTATCCCTGAAAAAGGGAGGCCTCCGCCCCTTCCTTAGTCTTAGTCACACTGCAGAGGCTTCAGGAGCTAGTCTGTGTTCACATTGGACTGGCAGCCCATCCCAGGACCTCTCCACCCTTGAGTCTCTCTTACAGGCAAGCCCAGCCCCAAGAGTACCCACTTCAGAGAAAGCAGGGGTCCTAGAGCCTCGGGGATGTTGAGTAACAAATAACAAGTGTCTCTTATGGACAGCACTTCTGCAGGCAGGGAAGAGACCTTGACCCATCTCCCTAAACCCTCACCACTGCCAGACCAGGAGAGAGCAGACGGCCTTGAAAGGGGATGCATGGCTGGGTACCACCCAGGATGAATCATATAGACCACAGGGCATGAAGTGGACAAAGACTTTACAGCTTCTGTATCTGGACCCAATTCTATGCCTGCTGATGCGACAGAATCTACTGACCTTTTCCCCTTCTACAGAGCCACTGTCTTATTAGTGATAGCAGGGAGGGCCCCCTGGGTTAGGCTGTGGCTTCTCTGCAGCTTCAGCTGATTTTCCAGTGAAGTGTTGCAAGATCATCTTATCAGTCCAGTCAACTACTGCTTGTCCCTGCTCTAGACAGGTGTGGTCCTCTATCCAGAACAGGGATGGAGAAGCCCATCTCAGGTACAGGACCAGGTGTGGTCCTCCATCCAGAACAGGGATGGAGCTGCCCATCTCAGACACACAGCAGAACCTTCCTATCCTTCTTTCATAAGACTAAGAAATTTTACTAAAGTTGTGGTTCTCAATTTGTGTTTTTTTGTCCTTCCGAGGGGACATGTGGCACTGCCTGGAGATACCTTGGTTGTCACAGTTACAGGAAAAAGCCTGGAATCGTGTTAAACATCTCACAATGCATAGGACATACCCCACCCTCCAAGGGCAAAGAATTACTGGATCAAAATACACACAAGGTTAAGTTTGATCTCGCACACGACTTACTCTCAAAGCCTGAAGACAACATTACCAAATGGAGACAACCCATTATTTAACAGATATTTTCCTGCTGGCTCCAACTATGGGTGAAATATTGCCCTGGAGACTAGGGAGGTAGTCATGAGCAAATCGACTTGGAAGTTCGATTTTGAGAAGTCAACTTATCTTCAGAAGAATGGCTTTGGGGGCAAAGTAGAAAAGTTGTGATGATTTTACCCTACAATTCTAGTGCAGGGTTTCTCAAAATATTATTTATACCACACATCCAAATATTAACACTGGGTATCTCCAAAAGATAGCCAATGAGGTTCATGCTAAATGCCCCAGCACATTTCTCTTCTTTTTCTTTCCTTTTTTATGTGTATGAGTGCTCTGCCTGCATGTACAACTTTATGCCAGAAGAGGGCATCAATCTCACTATAGATGGTTGTGAGCTGTCCTGTAGTAGCTGGGAATTGAACTCGGGACCTCTGGAAGAGCAGCCAGTGCTCTTAACAGCTGAGTCATTTCTCCAGCCTCCCCCTGCCCACCCCCATGCCTCCCATGCAGCACATACTTTTACAATTTAACTTTTATTATGTCTGTTTGTTTATTGTGTGTATGGGGGGGGCACACCAGCACTGCAGTAGAGGTCGGGGGACAACGTGTAGGAATCGGTTCTCTCCCACCACCACGCAGGAACCAGGGCTGGAACTCAGCTCACCAGGCTTAGCCGCAAGCATCTCTGTGAGCTAAACCACCTTGGCGCTTCCTGCACACATCTCCCTGAACACTCCTTTTAAAAGTTTGCTGTGTTCATGACACGTGTGTGTGTGTGTGTGTGTGTGTGTGTGTGTGTGTGTGTGTGTGTGTGTTAACTTGACTACTTTAAGATGCCATAATCTCCTGGGCTGTCTGAATAGAAGCTGAAAGAACTCCGGCTACAAAGAAGTTACCCCTGCTATAGAAGGTCTCTCTCCTCAAAGGTGACAAGCCCGGGCTTCCACGGAATGAAACATGAGCACCCCGTTCTAGAACACGGATCAAAATCTTGTTCCCCTATGGGCTGACAGGAGGGGTCACGGTAAAAAGGCAGTAAGAAACCTCGGCCAGTCACCTGCGTGGATTGACATGAGAGAAAGAACAGGAGAGAGAGAGTCTGGCTGCCATTCAGACTAATTTCACACTGAAATATCCTAAGAGGGGCTGGCACTCCTGATAAAGTGTCCCAGGCCCTCGGGAAAATGCTATCTCCACCAAGGACTCTCTTTAGTCACCAACTACGGCCTCAGCCATTGTCCTCTCACTATCAGTCAGACAACAGCTTATTGTGGTGCAGTGGCTGATGGCAGGTACAAACGCAATTCTCAGATACAAAGCCCCTGCTTATGCTTCAGCAGTGAAAAGCCAAGCCTTGAAGTCTATGCAGTTATTTGCACATCTGCAGCCCAGCACTTGCGCCAGCCCTAGATAAGCAACTTGGATACACCCAAGTCACATCTATAAAAGCAGCCCTCCTGGCCTTCTTCCAGCCAGCCTGACATCACAGACTCCAAGCTGTGTGGTTGCTGTCACACCTGCTGGCTCCCTCGAACTGCACGCTGCCCCCTCCTGATAGCACAGCGATGACCCACAAACCCCTACGGGATCTGAGGACTGGCAGGGGTGATGCCTACTGGCCCATTTCTGTGGCTGTCAGGACTGCCCACCCCTCCTGCCCTTGGCTTCGGTTCAGCCCTTCCTCCCCGCTGGATCCGAAGATGTTGGAGGGTGCTGGTGATGCCTGTTTTCCTCTGGTAGGCATTGTTCTCCTGCCAGAACCTATCGGGTTGGTGCCAAAGAACCTCTCAAGCAGCCAGACAGTATTGTTCTGAGCACAGGAGTAAGTACTTCTTTGGTGGCTCTGCTGTGTTGGCGAGTCCAAGGCAGAACCAGACAGGAATGACCCATCTGGATTAGTAAGAAGATGGGCTTGGGAGAGAGTACGGTTGGTAAAAAGCTTGCCACACAGTGTGAAGACCCAAGTTCGATCCCCAGCACCCATGTAATAAGTTGGGTATGGCAAGAGGCACTTGTAGGCAAAGTGATGGGTAGCAAAGACAGAAACATCCCTGGGGCTTGCTGGTCAGGTAGCCTAATCAAATCCTTGACCCCCACCGCCAGATCATGGGGGAATGACTCAGAGGACCTATGTTTGGTTCTCAGGCCCTACATGATGGCTCACAGCTGTCTGTAACTCCTCCATCCAGGAGATCTGATGTCATCTTCTGACCTCCACAACACTGTACGTGTATGGTAAACATAAAATGCACTCACAGGTGCAAATCTTAAAAATTAAATAGAGTCATAGAACAAAGCACAAGGTGGGTGGTTTCAGAAAAATGGCTCCAATGATTAACTTCTGACATCTCTATACACATGCATGTACAGACAGACACACACCAAATATATAAGGAAAATGGCTCCAATGATTAACTTCAGGAATGATTAATTTCAGGAAAATGGCTCCAATGATTAACCTCTGACATCTCTATACACATGCATGTACAGACAGACACACACCAAATATATAAGGAAAATGGCTCCAATGATTAACTTCAGGAATGATTAATTTCAGGAAAATGGCTCCAATGATTAACCTCTGACATCTCTATACACATGCATGTACAGACAGACACACATAGACACACACCAAATAGATAAGGAAAATGGCTCCAATGATTAACTTCTGACATCTCTATACACATGCATGTACACACACACACACACACACACACACACCCCAAATATATAAGGAAAATGGCTCCAATGATTAACTTCTGACATCTTTATACACATGCATGTACAGACACACACACACACACCAAATATATAAATAAACAAATACTTTTTAAATGACTTAGTGAGGGGTTCCAGCTATAAGTCAGGGTCCCTTAGTTTCCATGGCAGTGTTTCCAGAGATTCGTCACAGCCAGCTTTTCCACCAAGAAACGGGCCATATCTATTTGCTTTAATACAGTGGAAAGATGTACATACACACAGTGCTCCTGACAACAGATGTTCCTAGATATTCTAGGTTAAATCTGCACTGCCCAAGACTGGGTGACATCCTTACCTAAGGGTTAATTCTTCCCTCTTAGTCCACTGAGGCCATCTGTCTCCTTCCTAGCCTCCAGGGCATTTAGATGTCTGTACCTCTTTTTTGGGGTCATTTGATCACCAGTGATGGGCAGGTTTCTCACACTTAGGGTATCTACCCTAATCCCAGGGATGAATAATTAGAGTTTACGGGACTCCTCTCTGGCTGCCATCTTTGCCTGCTTTTCCCTTTAGCACACCTCTGCAGCCGACTTTACCGTAAGGAATCGCTTTACAGGCAAATCCACACTGCTGCCTTCAGAGTTCGCGAATAGGTAGAATTCCTGGCTAATGCAGGTAACCAATGAGCAATGAGTTTGCCGATGACATCTCCAGCTCTAAACCCGGCAGCTAAAAGTCATTCGGATCTCCTACCTTAACAAGGCGGTGCTAGTGACATTGGCTGGAACTCTGCCAGGCCAGTAAGCCAGTGCTGGGACCCGATGCCCACCTTCCCAGGTGGTCTGCTTGGCTGAGCTTCCTCCTGTGAGAAGAAGCAATTGTTTCATGAATATCAGTTAACAGGAGGCCTCTTTTTCAGCTGGGAGAATAGTCCCTCTCTAAGAGTGTCCAATAATTTCAACAAAGAAATGGTTTTATTTAAAAAAAATATTTTACTGCCCAGCTATTTGTCCCCCAACTAGTTAAGGACTTGCAGTACATGCTTTGATTTTCCTGGACTTAACCTATATAAACAGAGCCCTCCGCTAACTGTGTCAGCTCCTCTCCTGATAATCCCCCACTTTAAACTGTTCTGTTTTATTCCTTGCTCCTCATGTATCCCTGCACTGTGAGATTCAAGACATACTAGGTGTTTAAAGAGTCTTTGTTGAACAAATGGATCGTGTGCCTGTCTGATGAAAAGAGAGACCAGGCCCCTCCGAGCTGTTCACACCTACCCAGTGTGAATGAAGCCCTCTGTTCAATCTCTAGTACTGAAAAATAATTAAATAAAAGCTACAGTTCTTTGGAAGGAATCCAGCGCCTGTTTGATCTCACACAGCTTTATTTCTTGACTTTGTTTTCCCTTGAAATAACGAGCTGCTCTGATGAGACAGTATCAGCCATATTTCTGAGTGCTTGTCTCTTGCAGGGAGGTAAGAATATCCCACGTGCAACCAATGAACTTTCACATTAGTAATGGTAGGCATTATTCTTGTAGCCAAGTCAAATGTGACCACCAATATAATGACAGCCTGTGGGCTGGAAGAGATGAGGTCATGTTTTAAGAAAACATCCTGAATACACATGTTGCGTCGAATTAACCATGACGGGCTCCACTACTCCTACACACACACACACACACACACACACACACACACACACACACACACACACACACACACACACCCCACCCTCATCCCCAGTTGAGCCAGAGGCCAGGGATTCCACAAGCTTCGCGTGTAAGAAGTTCTTCCAAGGCAAGCGCTCTATGTGGCTCACACACACTGTGGTCATGCAACTTCCCCAAGTTTGGCTGGTGTAAATAATAAAAGCAAGCAAGGGCGGGGAGGCGAGGCTACCAAGATGAAGGCTTCCTCCCTCTGTGCTCTCATCGCCACAAACAGAACCTTTGATGTCCCTGGCTCAGTACACCAGACCGGAAGTGCTCCAAATTCCTGGGACAGGCACACAAGGAGCTCTGGAGTCCCCCCAAGTGTTGACAGAAGAAGCAGAACACAAAACAGCCCCTACCCTATGGGCTGTTTACATTCCAGCGCGTTGGGCTCAAGAAATCAACTAAATTCAGTCACTAGAGACTGAAAAGTTCTTCGATCTGGTCTACCACCAGTCTTCTCTCCCCAAAAGACGCACAGAACGAGACCACTCAAATTATTCATGCTCATAGACTAGGAAATCCAGAACTGTGACGAGCACTAACAGAGTTTCCACGTGGGCTCTGGATGCACGGCAATACTTCAGCTTAGGGCCAAACAATAATGGGTCCTAGCACAGACGCATGCTGGGGAACCTGGGGGTCTTTCCAACCCTGGGAGGAGCATTTGCCTGGACACTTTTGGTATGAGTGGGTGGAAAGATGGATGGGGCCCTTTTATTTACAAGCCGGAATGCATGACATTCAAAGGGCCCTGCTTAACCTTTGAGGCCAGATGCTAAAGCAAGGCCAAGGCTTTGGATCCAAGTAAATCATTATCTCCGACCAGAAGGCAGGAGCTGTTGCGAAGCTCTGTGAAAGCAAAGCGACACCTGTTTTCTGTGATACTGTGGGCAGCTCTTTTGCAGGTGCCTGACCTTCCCAAGGGGTTTCTCAATGGAAATAGTTTCGCTGTGCTTGTCATCTTTCAGCAAAGGGTCAGAAGCACATCTATCAGCACAGTGGACAACCCGCGTGGAAAGTTCAGCAAGTGAGGAATCGGATTGGCCCATACATGACCATGTGGGTGGGGCTACTCAGCTAATCTCCTGCACCTAGGTTCTACTTTTAACTGAAAGACAGGATCACTTATTCCAGCCATGTATATGATCCACCGTCCTTGTATGCAAAGGGGATTTAGCCTAAATCCTGAGTTTGGGCAAGCACTTATCACCCACAACACGGACATTCCTCTGCTTCAAATCCCAGTTTCTCGCCAGCCCTGCTAGGTAGGAGTGGAGTAAGGTCTCCCCAGTATCTTCCATCGGCCTTCCAAGGGGTGGGGTGCAATTGTCAGCTGTGTGTGCTTATGCAACCTTTTGTTTGCTTGTTTGGTTTGGTTTTTTTTGTGTGTGTGTGGCTTATTTGTACTAGCAAGGACAGAGTCCAGAATAACTGCCTCTAGGTGGCTATTTTTCCATTATTCCAAGTTAAAGATAATAATGCTAACAGCCGGGTAGTGGTGGCGCACGCCTTTAATCCCAGAAGTAAGGAGGCAGAGGCAGGCGGCTCTCTGTGAGTACGAGGCCAGCCTCGTCTACAGAGGGAGTTCTAGGACAGATTCCAAAAGCCACACAGAGAAACCCTACCTCAAAAAACAAAAACAAAAATAATAACACTAGCAATAACATTGTCTATTAATGGAGCCTTTACCAAGCACCGAAGCACCAAACTAAGTTCGTGGCTAAGTGATTTCCTACATTATTTCATTAGATTTGGATGACAACCTTTTGTACACTTATTTGTGTGTACGTGAGCGTGTGTGTGTGTGTGTGTGTGTGTGTGTGTGTGTGCTCACACCAAGGTATGCCCATGCAGGTCAGAGGATCACTTTTGGGGGTGCTATTCTTTCACCACGTGTGTTCTGAGGATCACACATGTTTAGGCATGGCTGCAAACATTGTTATCTGCTGAGCCATCTCACCAGCCCTTATATGACAATTTTTTGCACTACACACTATGATCCCACTTTTTTTTTTTTGTAATGGAAAAAAGTGAAAATCAAAAAGAGGTTAAGTAATCTTTTCAGTACTGAGGTCTGAATTCGGGCCCTTTCCTATGCTAGGAAGTACTCTACCACTGGGTTCGAGTTATATCTGCAGTCCCACCCCTTCTTTTAATGTTTAGTTTTGAAACCAGGTCTCTCGAAGTTTGCCTGGACTAGCCTTGAATTCACTGCGCAGCCCAGGCTCCACTTGTCAAATCTCCTGCCTCGGCCACCTGAGTAGCTGGGATAACGGGAATGTGTCACCAGCCCGCCTGAGTGTAAGTGGTTAGTAAATGCAGACCCAGTTACACAGCCAGGACCTTCCCCCATCATGCCTTCCAGATAGCCACCCACATCCTGAATGCACAGGTGGGCTCCTTTAAAAACACTGTGGTGGTGAAGCCAGCTGAGATTGGCTGGCAGGAGGGGTGGCCCGTCAATGTCTGAGAAAGGTGTCCCAGTGAGGCAACTTGGACAGGACTCATTCCCAGGCTAGATGGTGATTCAGACACAATGGCCTTCAAAGGCAGATCAGGTGACGTTGTTGTGTGTGAGTGTTCATAGCTGTGGGGATGTAGGCCCCTGCACTGGAGTATGGGTTGGAGGCCAGAGATCAACTTTTGCTTTTGGTTTGTGTTTTTCAGGCCCTTCAAGAAAGCAAAGCGGCTTTCTCTCATAGAGGATATAATTTACAAATAAGGGAGAATATCTACCAGGCACAATGGCCCGCGCCTGTAGGTCGAACATTTGGGAATCTTAGACATGGGGATCAATTCTAGTTCAAGGCCAGTCTGGGATATATAATGGATTCCAGGCCAGATTGGGCTACAGAGTGGAACACTTTCTCAAAAACAATATTTTTTAATTAATTAATTAATCCTTGGTAGACTTGACCTATGATCCATTTCTCCCCTTTTCACATCTGATTAATTAGGAACGCCTGGGCTGTTCGGATCACGCTGGGGACCTGGAATTGTCAGAAAGCTAACACTTCCCGGCCCTGTGGCAGATGCACGGCAGGCCAAACTACTGGGTTTCTGTTGGCCTAAGATTATGAGGAGGTCAGGGAGAGAGGAAGCCCTGCCTAGGACTTTACTCTCCTTACCTAACGTAATCGTTGGGGAGTCAGAAAGGAGGGTCACTGCCCAGGCTTCTCCTCTGTCTCCTGAACCTTTCTCTTTCTCACTCTCTGAGACTCTTTCTCTCACTCTGAGACTCTTTCTCTCACTCTCTGAGACTCTTTCTCTCACTCTCTGAGACTCTTTCGCTTCTCCATGGTGGTTTCCAGGACAGGGCCACACTGGCATGTGATCTGTGACCAGGGGGCAAAGGGCAAGGTCTGACCCCTGCTCCATATTCCGCATCATCGGCCCCCAGCACCTGCTCATCGTACCCGGTGGCCCTGGTGCTTGCAATGACTCGTACCCGCTTCTTGAAGAGCTGGCTGGCTTTCTGGTTCCCACACTCAGATCAGGCTCTCAGACCTCACCAGGACCCACACACCCAACTTAGAAATGGTGGAAGGGAATGCTGCAAGACCTTTGATTCTCCCAGGACAGCCTTTGTTTTAAACACACAGCAGGCAACTCATCAGTTAGGAAGACCCAGGTCAGATGACCTCCTTCTGCCTCCCCATTGGCTCAGCCTTAAAGCTTTTCTGAGGGATGGGCAGCTGGAGGTCAACCCTGGGTACCTAGTTTTCTGAGACAGGGTCTCTCACTTGACCTGGTATCAGGGGACATGGAGGGGCAACAAACTTCAGGGATCCACTTGGCTCTGGCTCCCCAGCACTGGGATTCCAAGCATGAATCAGGCACAGGTTTTGTTTGTTTGTTTGTTTTGTTTTGTTCTGTTTTGAGACAGGGTTTCTCTGTAGTTTTGCAACCCGTCCTGGAACTCACTCAGTAGAGCCAGCTGGCCTGGAACTCACAGACATCTGCCTGCCTCTGCCTTTCCAGTGCTGGGATTAAAGGCTACCCACAGTTTTTAACCAAAGTTCTAGGTTAACTCAGGTCCTCCTGTTTGCAAAGCAACACTTTACTGACCAAGCCATTTCCCCAACTTTGTGTGGGTTTTTTTGTTTGTTTGTTTGTTTTTTGTTGGGAGCGGATCATTGTTACTT